ACGTCCACTTCCGTGGTGTTAGATCTAACAACAAAGAGGCCAATGTGATCATTTTTTTGGCGTTGGACCTGAAATTTCATGGCCGTAAAACTTATATTTACGGTGTCCGTGACGAGGCGAACACAAAATTTAAGGATGCGAAACACTTAAAATTTACGTTTGCCAAACTGCGGCGAGCTGTTCGCAAAGTTCGTCTTGAACTGCCCTAATGTCTTAGATCAAAGCATTAAAATATTACTCTGCAGCATACCATTGGTAATTGTAAAAGATCCTCAAATTTATGTAGAAATGAATGAGAGCTCTTAGACAGTACTTGATCTTTGCAAGTATAAAGACTTTGAGATCTTTTCAAATTACTTCATTTGTAATTTGGTTTGCAGGTTTTTGTTTGATCCTGATGTTTTCACAAGTCAGAGTGACCAGCTTTGATTGCTCATCAAAATACATTTGTGAGTTTGTATCTGACGTATGAAAAAACTGACTGAATCCAATAATTCTGAATAATGAACATTGAAAACTTATGGTCAATTTTAACTGGGATGGATATTCCAGCAGAGAGAGAACTGTGGGTTGGAACTTGGGTCACAGGCTTCTGAAAGACATGAGGTGTGAAGTGGCCTGCATTGTCAGAACACATTATCACGAGTGAATTAGTCTGAAATTTTTGCTGTGCCAGTGGAGACAAAATTGACTGATCATGTGGTAGCTGGAAACCAACAACTCAGTCCAATTTCTCTTATCTTCTTTGCTCCATCACCAGAGTCTTGGAGGTGAATTCAAGCTAAGACATGGGTATCTGTAGTGCAGAGCATCAGAGGGTGAAATCGTTTACACAGAAATTGAATTGAAAAAAGAATAAGGCAGCACGAAATAAATATCTCGCCTCATGACAGTGAAGTTGCACATGCGGACTCTAGTCTCGGCGAATGAGATGATTCAAATGACTTTCCATCTGCCAAGAGTTAACGCCGACCTATCCCAACGGATCTTCACACTGCGTCAGACAAGGTTAGGAATTCCAAGGCGATAGAAATCATCATAAGCACAGCTGCCTTGAACGTGCTCAGATTTCTTTGACTTTGGAAGATATTTTTCTTATCTGATCAATCCTGATCAATCTGTAGAACATTCGTCTTAACTTATCTTGTGATGTAATTGGAATGGTGTAACCAAACCATCACATATGACAGAGCCCTTGACTTCTTGAAGTATGTGGAACAAAAGAGGTATCACCAGACCGGCGAGTTTGATAAGAAATTAAAATGAACTTATTTTAAACACACTTAAACGCGTCATCTTTCTTTGATCGGTAGTCGGAAGGTAATGTGACTCAATTGGGATCAGTCAGGTTTAACTACTACTTTGCTTCTCTTGTGCTTGGGTGGAGGCTTATATTCCGTTTTTTTCGCTGTGATATGCTCATCACATTGATATATTTTGCAGGTCTTCTTTCTCAAATTGGAATCATTCAAATTCTGCACTTCGATAACCAATTAGCTCATCTTCCATACAACTCTTGGTCTAACTTTCTACTGACACATCCTCATTGCTATTGTTTTTGGACTTCTTTCCGATTTTTTCAACCCCTTTGATCCATAGCAAAGGATGTCAATCGATAATAAAACCGATAACAGCGAGCTTTCACGTTTGTTCCCATCGAAGTTATAACATACGCATCGATGACTGATGACGCCAATTTGATCGTTGAACTTTGATTCAATTCATAGCTTCGGGGGGACGCCCTATGAGAAATGATAGTGGAGCAAGTCTTCCATACGCTTCAGGTGATTCATGCTCTGGTGCAAATTGAGGTCTGGAGTGCACTGAAAACTGACCAGGTTCACCCCCCTCTCTACTGAAGAATCAAGCAGCTCAGACAATCGTTCATTTGCAGATGTATACCCAAGCGGTGTAGCTCCATGTTACTCTCAAGGATTAAGTAAGCTTGAAATCGAAAACAATCGTACATGTACCAGCTTACCGGTACTCATCAAAGTCGGAATCTGAATGATATTGATGATGTTTAATTCCCGGTCTTTTGGTGCTAGTTTGTATTGATGGAGATTGTATTTGTCACGCTTTCAACGCTGAAAGAGAAAAAAACTTGGAAACTCTACGAGCTATGAGAGGCTTGATATCGGGTCTGCCCAAGCCAGTGCTAGACGTCGACTCAGACTCAGACGAGGAGATAGTCTGCAAAGCTCCTGAAGATACCGACATCAACCGAATCTCTGGCTCGCGCTTGTCTGAAGGTAACCGGATAAATAATCTCGAAAGCAATAGGACACATGCAGTCAATGCGACGAATTTTGCTCAAGGAGGTGCGTTGATCTGAATTATCTGATTTTTGACATCGAAAAAGATTCAAATGTGTTCTTTCCTAGTCGAAACTCCTCATGGAACCGTCTTCGGCGGCGGCATTACGTGAGCACTCATCATTGTATCTTGTATAGGATTGCGCTCAAATGGTTTGCAATTCTCTAAGACCCGAACGATTCAGAGCTACTCTTACAGCGCAACTCAACGCACTATCAAGTCGAAGAGACCAAATTGAGACTTCGCGGTCGGAAGGGCCTGTGGCGAAGCCTTGATGCAAGCAAACTTACTTCAGATCACTTTTAGCCTTTTTCCACCTCAAGTCTTTAATCTCTTGTCACAGGCGGATCAAGAGTTGTACAATCATATGTGTATATAATTTTTCAACTTACGCTTCATTGATATCCTTTTTATATTATTTTCTTCTTATCAATGGTTCTTGTTTTCGTGAACCAAAGGACACGTAAAAGGGTGTAGCCCAGTACAACTTGACATACATGATCATAAAACCTCAAATACATAATTTATCATGTTGAGGTTGAGTCTCTATGAAGAGAAACTCTGATGGCTAGATACTTGAAGAGACACTCTGATGGTACAGAGCCACTATGTCCCAACTGTCTTATGGATTACAACGGAAAAATTGTAGCAGTCAAAGTCTGTTATTCACAAAAAGGATCAGGAGGTCATGTCGAGTTGATACATACATCTGTGTCTGGGTGTGTATGTTAAGTCTGGTGTCAGGCTTCAAGTCCACCATGAAGAGGATTGTATTCTTTCAGAACAAAAAATATAGAATTGAATGTCTAGATCTGTCTAGAAGCATCAAATTATCTTTCATACTTTACAGAGTCGTACATTGATCATTCACCTGGTCCTTGACATAAACCTGGATCAGTTTGTCAAATATTTGGTGCAGATAAAAGTCATATCAAAAATGGGTGGAATGTAAAGGTGCTAGCAGGACGGCTTGAGACTTTGAATGAAGGAAAAATATTGCATCATAGTATTGGTAGATGTAAAAGATCTTAAGCTGGTGTTCAAATGCAAACCAATATCAAGATTTTTCCAAGTATCTTTTTAAAAGTATTTCATTCTTGATTTGCTTTGATTTTTTGCTTGATACCTAATGAATCCACAAGTTGGAGTGTCCAGCTTTGAGTTGTTATCATATTGTTTTTCGTGATCAGATTGTACTGGTCATATTTTTGAGTTGACATATGTATATGTTTCAAAAGATGTTCAGATCAAGTAGACATTTCATTGATGTTTTATAACTAAACAATGTTTGTATATCATGTTCAACTTCAAGTAGAGATGAGCGTTATGACAGGGTGAAAAATGGTACATAGTAGGCTTTTGAAAGCTTCTAAAAGACATGAGGTGCAGGTGTGACACTTCAGCATTCAAACAATAGGTCAGAAGACGACATCATGAGAGGATTAGTCTAAACTGATGCTATGAAGACAAAATCCCGTGGTCATGTGGTGGCAGGACACATCCAGTTCAGTTTCTCATATTTGTTGCTCATTTGCCGGAGTCTTGGGGGTGACTTTAAGCTAAGAGATGAAGATCTGTGGTCGAGTTAAAGTAAGGCAGCACAAAGTAAACATCTTTGTTGAGGTTCAATCAACACAAGCATACAAGTCTAGATTATGCTTATAGCAGAATCACCCCAATCTTCTTACATATATATACAACAACCTTCATCAGTCTTCTTTTCCTCATCTATGAAAAGAAGACTGTAAGTGAACTCATTTCTTTATTCTTTTTCTTGATCTTTGTGACCTCTTCTGATTTATGTTATCTTATTCTAGTCCCAGTCATCATCTTTGTTAGACCCAAGATTAGGCTCTGAACCTGTTTGTTTCCCCCAACTTAGGTACTTACTTTCCTTATCTATGAAAAGAAGACTTCCCAGTCATTATCTTTGTTAGACCCAAGATTAGGCTCTGAACCTGTTTGTTTCCCCCAACTTAGGTACTTACTTTCCTTATCTATGAAAAGAAGACTTCCCAGTCATTATCTTTGTTAGACCCAAGATTAGGCTCTGAACCTGTTTGTTTCCCCCAACTTAGACCGTGTTCTAAGACTTTCTCAATCTTGCCTCAAATTCAATCCAATGCTATCAAATAGCATATGGCCTCAACTTCCCGCTGGAAATTGTTATCCAAATTATTGGCAGTGATGTTGGGGCCTTTAAATATTCTGATGCTATTACTATCAACAAATAATTAGGGGACTCAAAGTAAGTATGCACACGTACATACTTTCGTGTGCATACTTTTTTTGGGCGGGGAAAAAGAAAAAAATATACCTTTGGCCTCGGTCTCCCCGCCAAAAAAAAGTATGCAGCGAGTATGTACGTGTGCATACTTACTTTCAGTACCCTAAATGTTGCAAGTTGAGATTGGTCACTGGCAACAACACACACTTTCATTTCAAAGCATCAATTTATAGCTAGAACAGGGTGGACCAGCTTCTTGGCCACAATGAAGCCAATTTTGCCAAAAATCATGTTGACAAAAAATGTGAGAAGCAGATGCACTCTGCTGTCTCCACTACAAGATGCATCTCCAACCCCTTACCAAAACTCCCAGCCCCCAAGGTCACCTGTCTAAGGTTTTCCAATTCAACATTCCTTCATTTCCATCTCTTGAACCCCTTTAAAATTTCTTGTTTTTTACTGACTTCTTCCCAAAAGACATGGTTGGCCAAAGGCTTCAGATCAATGGAATATTTGAATCACTGCACTTTTTTTGAGATATGAATGATCACAATCTTTGGTTGGATGGCTTATAAATTATTTTAGTAGCTCTGTGTTTAATTCTCTCAAGTGGGGACTTGTTCAAAGTAGTCATACTATATGGTGAAGGAAACTGAAAGGGAATCAGTCAAAAGTGGCTTTATAAATGGTCCAGCAGCTCTCATACTGTATTCCACATCAGACAACATCAAGTGAAGATTTTGGGCTCCAGGTCAACTCACTCTTTCCTGGAGTGGATTGATCAGTAAGATAAAACTCCATCAAAACGTATCTTGTTCATATTTAGTGAAGGAAAGCCTTGGTTTTGGTTCGACATTAGATCTCTTTCCCATGGTATAGATACACTATTACATGCATCAACACATGCTGCATGTCGGAACAGTCATGCGTGAAAGTCCCTAGGAAGGGTTCATGACTGTCTAATGGCGCAAATCTTCTGTTGCAAGATCGAGTTGGTCACACAGGATTCTAAAATCTTCAGGAAACGGAGCTCGAACTTTGATAGTGATCTGCTTGGGTTCTTCCTTTCGATAAAGCTAATCAAGATGAATTTACGAAACAGTTAGAACTAAAAAGAACATGAGAAATAAAAAAGCGAAAAACATACTTTGAATTCAATTTGTGAAGAGTGCAACATGATCCTACTATCACTTTCTCTTTTCAAAAAGTCTTCAATACATTTCTGAGATTTATCGCTCAAGTATCTGAAGTCGTACTTAAAGTCACCAACAATTGGTGCTGATAGAAATCTCGAACAAACTAGTCGTAACTGATGTTTTCGTCCGGTGGTTGGTAGCAAAGAGACAATGGCATGGGTTGACTATGACAATAGCCTTCAGCTATTGTAGAGCTCGAAATGATTAGGGTAAAAATCAGCTCAACTGTGGCGGTAACCAGCTTCCAATCAGTCTCTGCGCGTTTGCAATCAGGTCCCGTACGATTCGCTATAAAAAGGGAGATGGACATCAGACTTTCGACTGAATTAATTCATTCTTCATAATTCCATGTTGATTGGCTTACCTTCTGCGATTACCATCTTATCACTCCGATTACGCATCCTACAAAGCACTTTCCCTTGAGTAGTTGCCTCCTGGATTGGACCTCTCTTCGTGGGAAGGAATTGGACGAGCGCGAGGTATCGCTTTTTAATAGTAGACTGTTTGAATTGAGTACCAATCGTTCGAGCTACTGATGATGATCGAGCAAGTATCAAAGGACCTGAGGTTGACTTGTCAAGACGCTGAACTAGGTAGAGCTTTCCATAGATGTTTGTGAAATCTAATGCAAACCAACATCATCAACTGTTAGAACCTAAGCACTTTGGAAAATAACGAAATGGTAAATGATTGACGCACGATCGTGGATCAAATTCCATCGAATGAAAGCCTCTGATCCTTCTTCAGCTTGCAAGGCGCAACCAGCCGGCTTGTTGATCACCAAGACTTTCTCATCGTCGTATAGAATTTCAGGTGGACGAAAACTAGCTCGTAGTCGGTTTTCTAATTCTTCTTTCGCTTTCAAATGATGAACTAATTTCTCCTCTGCGATCTTCGCCCGTTTGATTTGCTGAGAACAAAATAACACAAATGTCATTCATTAAGACAACGTAGAAATTACGAGACAGTGCCTTGAATACGTACTGACCGAGGAAGCCTCGAGCTTGCTGTTGGACTGGGTGGTTTGGATGCAGTGTCCTGTAGGTCAACAGGAGGTATAGATTTTGCGGGCACAACAGCTCGGGCTGCAGTTTTGACCGAGAACCAACGGCACGTCGATCGAAAGGGAGGAAATACGATGGACGCCATATGACCAAAGTGAAGGAGGAGTTGAATGAAATGTTGCAGCTGCTGATCAAATTTAAGTAACTTTAAGCCAAACCACAAATCCAGATTGTGGTCAAACTTTCAAGCTATCGATACCTTTCTCAGGAGACATCGCAACTCAACCTCAATAAGATGGAAACTCCAATGCGAAGAAAGAAATTTATGATTTTGGTGCAAGTCACTTCACAACAGTGTTCGCACATTCCATGCAATGCCAAGTTCTTTGGTAAAAGCCCTAAACATGAACCTCCCAAATGCCATTTTTGAACCCTCCATATTCGCATACCTCATCGCGACGCTCACGCAGCCGAAATACAGCAAAATACTCACCCACAAGCCGGCCCGCGTCTCAAATGGTATATATTCCGCGCATTCCTGCCACATTGCTTTTCTCCTCAAGACCAAAGTGAGCCACATCTCCCTATACCGTACTTCCGTCTTCCATCTATCGTCTTACTCATTACCTACCTCTACCATTTCCTTTCTTGATCTCAGCTCTTCAGGATCTATTTACAGTAGATACCCGTTTGTTTGTCTCACTAGCTCAATCGAGCCACAGTGTTAACAAGTGTTGATGATATGAAGACTACGTGCCTCACCTAAGCGAGAACATCTTGTTTCTGACCTTGGTCTTTAACAAGCTCGATGACCTTGGGCTCTCTTTTCACCACCGTTTCTTTTGGGAAATCGGTTGTCCTGTGTTGCTACTTAGACTCACTCGTTGGGTACATGTTAGTCTGCACTGTGAAAGTGGCCAGAAGTGCGAGTCGTTCTGAACTTGTTATCCTCTTGATACTCATTTTAGTTATGTTTGTCTAACTCCTCCCAGTGGCTGTCAATGAAAATCTAACATTTAAAACACTACTCAAGCATCCTGCTCTGTTGCCCTCTGTCGCCCCCTTGGTTGAGTGCTCTAAAGCATCAGCAATACCAACTGTCATACAGCCGAGTCTTGCTCTTCGGCCACTTCGCTTGAGCCGTGTTTTATTTGCCCATGATCATATCCCAGGCTGCATCTTGAACTGGACTTTCTTGATGACTAATGGCCAAGGGCAAGAAGACTTTCATGTTTGTGAATGTTTCCATGCCAAGGACATGCAAAGATAAAGAGGGAAAACATTGCAAGCTGGAAAAATACCTATGAGTTATTCATGTCAAAAGATGCCAGCTTGAACAGATGAGGTTCAAACCCTTGAGGCTCATAGGTAGCTTCTCATACATAGAAAAAGAATCAAAGGCTAAGAGTTCAAGGTGTCCCACACAAAAAAAAGTAGTAACATAGCAAGATATCATATGGACAAAAGAGAATAACAGATAGAGAGATAAGCAAATAACCATAACAAAAGACAAACACACTAAGCAACAATGAGAGATCACTGATTGGTAACATAAATTTATCCATCTAGTCCAACACCATTTCCCCCTGAAGGTGACAGAAATTGGACAGACTGAGTTAAATCCAGAGATGAGATCTGGACAAATCAGAACTGAAATGTGTATAAAATTGACTTCTGCCCACCAACCCACCAGCAATTAGCAGGTTGCAAAATGGTTTGGTTCACAAGAACTAACCCCAGAGGCATGACTTTGCCAATGTCCCAAACATACTACATTGAAATTTGGGTAAGGGTAGTCACTCCAAATGAGGAGGGTTTCAAAGGTAGACTGATCAAAGAGTCTACCAAACTCAGTCATGAGGGTGCTGATCAGCGCAATTATTTAGGACTAGGTCAAGTAAAGAAAGATATGTTGTACACTCCATTGATTTTATGTCTTTAATCTTTGTGACTGTAAATTGTCATGCAATGTGATTCTTTGTGATGGACAAACAAAGACATGTGGTAGCCTCAGGACTGGAGCAAATTTCAATTGCATTTGATGTTTTGAGGCCATGTTTCAAGAGGTATTGTAGAATTCCAGTAAAATTTCCAGCAATGGAGAGCTTGTGTATTGCAATCATCTTCAACTGTTAACAATACCAAATGATGATTTGAGCTTATAGATGTTTATCACCAGTTTTGAAATGTGGCAGTCAAACCTGATTATATGTGTAATAGCACAGATAAGACTCTCAACCACAACCTTTTCCACAAGAAAAGCATCTGACCTAAGATAAGAAATAACAAGATTAGGAAGCATGCAATAAAATTAAAGATTAAACAAGCACCTTATATGTGCCACTGAATTGAGAGATCAGTTTAGTTATCTAGCTTCAATAACTGATCTTTTGGAACTAAAAGAGAGAAAGAACTAGTATTGATAAAGTGCAAAACAAATAACAAGGTAAAATAACAAGGTAACATCATATTCTTAGTAAAAAGTGAAAATTTACATACTTCTCTTTCCAAAGATGGGGAAAGAGAAGTACATCTGACTGCTTGAAAGATATGAGTATACTTTTTAATTGTTGATTTTCTCATTGTGGTGATTGATAAAATTTCCCTTTTTTCATCTAATATTTCTGAATCTTTTCTTCTCTTGGTATAATTTCCTAATGTAATTCTTGTCTAACCTTATACTAAAATTACCGCTCACTTCTCATTGATTGGAAGTTTCAACAAATCAATCACCAATTTGAGGTCAAAGAAGATGAAATACTACACATAGTCAGTGAGACTGAGCCTGCTTGGATCTCATCCTTCACAGCCAAGGGCCAGTCTTGGCTTAGCTTGAGTGTAAGTAGCAGGTGGCTTTAAAGCAGTTTTTGCATTAATTCCTTTCTCAGTGTTTGATACCTCTCTATATCTTTTGGGGACATCTCTAAATCATCCCTGATATTGACAAGACCAAAGCCAAACAGAACAGATATGCTCAATGAGTGCATTATACTGTAAGACTAAAATGACATCAAGACCTAACTTGTCTCCTGAGCCACTAACTTAACATCCTCTGCATAGATGGTGTTACAATTGGTATGGTTCACAAACCCTTTCAGGTCCAATGCAAGCATCTCTGACCTGGAGCTAGCCAGAAATTTGACAATTGAATACATGCAGATGAAAGAGCATATATGTACCACACTGCACATAGACAAAGTCAGTTAGTGAGGCTAAATTGCCTTTGTGACTGATTGTTGTAGATCAATCATTTCTTCTTGGACAATCTGGGCAACAGTGTATCTGATGCAAAGAGCATTCCAGCTTGATGAGCACAAATGGAAAAGCATAAACAAACAAGAATTTAGCAAAGTGTATTGTCTGCTTGAGAGCCTAAATAGATTTGTTGCCAATGAGAAAATACAACAATGATTTATCCTTCATGTAATCAAACAGCAGAAACAGCCAACCACTTGAGAAATCGCAAGAGGGTCAATTTCTGGGTTGGCACTACCTACTTTCTGGAAATATTCTTCCACAGATGCTTTCTTAGACTTGGACATTTTGGAACCCAGTGGTTGTGTGGGCAGTGATTTCAAAGCTTCATGCCAATATGGCCACTCAAAACCATGAAAAAGTTTGGTGCATTGGAATCTGATGAATCCAAGTATCAGTTGGAAGATATACAAACACATTTTACATTGTGTATACAGGTGGTCTTGGTTAGTGGCCCCAACACTGTATATGATGATGCTGTAGCCAGATGGCACTAATACCATAATAAAAGGATGTAGAACCTTGCAGCCAAGTAACCTCACAATGCAGAATCAACTTTCAAAATATGACATTTGGATTTGTAGAGTAGAATTCAGTAACCACATACATCTTCATTTTGGAGAAGCCATAGCAACTGTCTCAATATCCAAGAAACATGTCTCCTCAAAGAGAAGAACTGAAAGCCCATCACAGAAGGGAAAGTGGGACAAAGACTGCAAAGCCAGTGGTCCTGTGAGAAGTATAGTATTTCACCAAGTAAATGATGCAACACATTGAGGCAAGACCAGCTCAAGGGAAAATTCCATCAAGGTGAGCAATCATACAGCTTTCATATCTCTATGAAAATGTGAGTATCATCATGTTAGGTTAATCAAAAAATGTCTTCAATGTATACAAGCACATGAAAGTATGGATTCACTGTGATCAAAAGTGTTAACTTTTACATCATGACCCATTTTTAACCATATCAAGTACATATTTGTTTGACCTCAGAGAAACCATTCTTTGATCTTTTGTTTTCTCATTGATCACATTCAGCTTACCACTGTAGATATGTAAGTTTGGCATCTTTATCTATCATTCTGGTTGTCACACAGTTAGAATCCTTGGCTTCAATGCAAAACCACAGGCTGCCCAGATGTTTCTATTCAAAATATCAAAGCACTTCTTAACAGTCAATATTATCCAAGCTAATCTGTTCATAACTCTTCTGTGTGAAATCAATCTGGAGGAAACAAACAATTGCTTTACAAGAGGCAAAAAGGGGCCTCATTGGGAATTGAACCCAAGACCTCTCCCACATGAGGCACACGACCCAAAGGGAGAATCATACTACTAGACCATAAGGCCACACTGCAGGTCAAACATGGATGTCACCCGCCGCCACAGCAATGTGACATGCACCACAGGTTGGCCCCAATCTGATGCCAACCAAATTTCACAAATGGGGGTGGCAAACACCATTGGTCCGGTGGAGTGAGCCAGCTGGTCAACCTCTGCCATCTACAATGCAGTGACCCAATCCACATATCATTTGGAAACTGGTCTGGAACTGGAAAGAAAATGAAGAACAAAAATCACACACAAAGAAAAGTACATACAAAAACTCAACAAATAGAAAACCTCAACCAATGTCATTATCTTCAGTCAAGAAAAACTGCTTATAGAGAACAAAGATCAAAAAATGAAAAGATCAATGTTTTGGAGGATATTGTTCATCAACTAATTTCATCTTTTCTTCTGACCATCAACATACTAGATTTTTTGAGATCTTCCAACAATTAATCCCCATGATATAGGTCATTCAATTGCACCATCATCACACTCTCCAAGCCATAGTTCTTTCCTCATCTTGTGTGTTCTGTTTCAGAAGCCATAAGCTATGTCAGCCATGAGGAGTATTCTACAATACTCCCATTGTCAGAACAGCAGATCCAGTGTAAAAGTATCCACTAGTCAATGGCAACCAAGCTCAAAGGATCCAAGACCCTATTTCCAAGGAGTGTTAGTGATCTAACACAGGGAGCATCTGATACTGGTTTCAGTGTACCAGATGAGAAACCTGATGACAGCATCCAGGAAAACCCTGACAGTCTAGCTCAGAACAAATGACTCACTCAAATATATAAACAAGGATTCCATTCATCCAAAAAGAAGAGAATCATCTTTTTACGAACCAACAAACTTATCTTTGAGAAATTAAACTCTATGACTTATACTAAAACCAGTGATTACTTATAATTTAGATTATCTCAACTCTTTGATATTATCTTTCTTATCTGACTTTTAAAATTTAGTATTGTTATCGTTTATTTCTTTCTCAAGCAGTACATTATTGGAATAAGACTCAGTGTTCTTAATATCAAAATAACCTTTTATTGTCTAAGATGTTTCCCAGATCATTATTGATGAAGAGATCACTTTATCAATAATGTAGAAACTAGATATTTGGATCAACTTTCTTCGTCCAAGATGTTTCGAAGATCATCATTGATAAAGATGTCTCTTTAACAATGCGTAGAAACTAGACTATTACAATTGACTCGTAAACCTGAGACAGGAGTACCCTTGCACCTACCTCAGAAGACCCTGATTGGAACAGACCTTTCAGCGAGTACCAGGCAGCGGTAGCCATTCCGCACCTAAGACAACATGGAGTCGCCAGCTCCTGTTATAAAGGCTTGAATTTACCTCAGTAAACTCACTGTAACAAAGCCAACAAGAAGCATCAAGCATGCAAGTATTCAGCTATGATTCTCTTAAAAGCCACCTGTTTTAAGTCTCAGGCTGACAAGCTACACCTCAACTTGAGGCTCAGTGATGAGAGCCACTTAAAAACATGTAAATGATTTACCAAATACATGAAAAACCTATCCCAAGCATCAAGCAGAAGTCATTGTGTAATTAGACAAGCCTCATGTGCCAACCACAATTTGATGCTTGGCCTGTGAATATATAAACCCCCCTTCTTGCCTTGAAGCATCCCCCCTCTTTTAGTACAACTACAACACAGAACCACATGTTGCTTGACTCATATTGAGAGGAGCTTTGAGCATGTGATTAGTTGTGTAGCTTGTTAAAGACTATTCTTGACCATCATTGTTTGTATTGCTTGACACCCAAGTTACTGATTTCTTTAAGCCCATGGCCATCATTGTCTGTAGAAACAAACCTTAAATCTGCAAAGCTTCATCTGTAACACAGAGTCTAGGGTAGCCTCAGGATCTTTGGTTTACAAAAGTGTAAAGCCTGCCGCTCAAATTCTCACAAGGTTTGAGCATAATAGCTTCTTATTACCCTTAAAATTCCATTTCCATTCCCAAATCCTCTTCTTAGAGGTCAATTAGCTGCTATCTTCACTTGGGTGTACTGCACATGAAGACCACACACACCATTTCAACACTTACTCTCAGTAAAGTATGCCATACAGATGTGTACTCTTCTCCCAAAAGCTAGGGAGGACCAGATGTTTTTCTCACCAGTTTGAAAACCTGGGGGACCAAGAGTCATGACATTGGTTCATTTTCTAATCCAGGCACAGTGTTGGCTCTTTGGAGTTTTGTTTTGAACAGCTCTTGTCCTAGATTAACAGCAAGCCCACTGTACCAGGCAAATGTTTCACTGAATGTTCTACCCCTGCAACTTGCAAGGGACAATGGAATAGTCTGCATGTCATTTTGGCTTTGTTGTGGCCTCAATAAAGTTTCCATCATCATATTGGCATTGCAAAAACCCCAAAAAGGACTTGTGAGTATTGTGCCACCCTTGCAATACAATTAAATGGTGCTGATCTTTCATGTCAAAAATCTTGATGATCACATGTATAAGAGCACCAGAGCCCCCTTGGGGCAAGTTGGAATCCACAGACACTTTAGAAACATACAGCCTCAGGGCAGATAATATGGGTGCATTTTTTTCGGAACCCAAAACATCAATTGTCTGTACCACCATTGCCCTCAAGTAGTGAGGAATTTAATTGAGAACAGTCATCAAATTCAACTGACAGATATAGTGACTGCCAGGTTAAGTGTGTGCAAGATAAGTCTTGAATCATCCAAAAGAAAACCAAAAACCAAATGACCTTAGTGTGAAGATATGACACCAATTATTATGACCTTCTTTGGAGGCTGTGTTGTGGGACACAGAGCAATAGGATGCTGAGCTACTTGATAAGATCATTGTAGCATGAGGGAAAAGTGAAATATAGTAAAAGCTCTGATCTAGAGTACCTGTGAGTGTCTCCTCTGTCATGTATCCTAACATCTCTGGGATCATAACAAAAACATTTTGGATCTCTGAATGAGAAAGGAACTCAAGGTGAAGCTGAAATTGAATATAGAAACCAAAGCTTTCAAACAATACATTGTGATTAGCTCAAACCCTGGCCTACTTAAAATTCAGGTTCAGAACTCTGCTAATCCCTATTTCAAATCAAATTTTTTTGTTTTGAGTTTACTTAAACCATCATTTTTCATGTGGGATCAGGCAAAAAAACCTGTTGACTATGTTATATGTCAATGGAATAAGTCAAGAGGATGAATTTTGTGATTTCTACACCTTCCTAAATTCTGGATTCCAACCTTTCAGAAGGTAGATTTTACCAGTTTGAAACTAAAACTGGTTAGATTCAATATCCACAGGGAAACCAGGAAACTCTTGGAAAAGATGGCTTCCCATATTTGTTTGATCACCCTCATATTATAATTGTTTCTGATCAGTTTTTTATTACCAACACATGATGAATGAACTTACAAGGTTTGTGATGAGCAAATCAAGCAAAGAGGTCTTGGATCTCAATTCTCCAAGGTTTTGTAAGTTGAACTAATTGATACATTAACCATGTACAGCCCTTTGCAGAATTGATGACTTTGGAAAAAGAGAAAACACTTGAGTTTTCAAAAAAACCTGCGAGTTTTTTTCAGTTTTTTTCAAAAACTCATTGAGTTTTTCAAAAACTGAGTGAGCTCTTTCTCTTTTAGACTTACTGAGCCAGGTTTGCAAAAAAAACTCACTGACTTTTTGAAAAACTCAGCAGCTTTTTGACAAAACTCAAGGTTCTTTATTTGAAAACTCAAGGTTTTTTTTTCTTCAAAGTCATCAATTATGCAAAGGGCTGTACTTCAAGATATGACCTGTTGCAGAAAAAACTGAAGAACTGAAGAATTATGGTCAAGTCTTAAGCACTAACTTCTGTCTTCTCAAAATAATGATTACTTGAGAACTCAAGGACCAAAGAAAGAAAAGCCTGTTCCTCACAGCTTCTCATCATATACCCAAAGTAAGTGGACATGATAAACTTGTACATACAAGAAATGTTGAAAAAAGCAAGAGTAATTATCAAGTAAGATCCTAATTATCAAGTTGATCCAACAATTCTCACCCATCTTCATGTAAAAACCACAAGTATCTTATATTGATGCTCTCTTTGTTACCAAACACAATCAAGAGCTCAAAGCCATCTATAAATTTCCCTTTAAGATATATATGAATACTTTGCAAAACAAAAACAAAAAAAGAAAGAAAGTCAAAAACAAACCAATGGAACAAAAAATACAAGACCTAAAGATATATATTACACACATCTCTTTAATTTGAGGAGAGAAAAAAACAAAACAAACCGATCTAAGAAAAAACCATAAGGAAGCTATTCTCTAGTAATAAGAAGACATAGATAGAAAAAGATGAAAGAAAAGGGCTTTTTTGGTTAATGAGAATTGAGAGGGGAGATAGTAATAATCCGAAAAAAAGGGGGAAAAAATGAAAGACCGATACGAAAAAAGATAAACCTTGCTCATATACTCCTTAATAACTACGACTACTGTAACTGATTCGGAAAACAAAAAAACGTTTTCAAACAATTGTACTGATAACAACACAACACATTTGATATATAGAAATATCTCCTTCTTTGAAGGTAAGTTATAACAGGAACAGATACACAATGCGGATGATCACATATGAATTGAAAAATAAAATGAAACGATAAAAAAACTCCTGAACGATTCAATACAACTCCGCTGATCTTTGATCAGATCATGAATCAGGTGGCCCAACTGCTAATTCGACTATCAATCTACAAGCACATTCTAAAAAAAGAAATGGACTAGAAGCAGCTCCTTTTCTTTCTTCTTGTAAGTATTCATATTGCTGTTGAGAATCAGAATCTCCCCGATCTGTTGGTCGAATCAATTTATATCCTAGATTTCGAAAATCCACTAAGTAATTATTAACTTCGATTTGGTATAATTGTAGATCCATTCGAACCTGTTCGGAAACATAGACCGAAATCCACACACGAAGTCAGATTCCGTGACAATAACAGCATCGAGAACATCAGCGCAGCCGTGATAATTGATCTACATACCATTACATCGTCGAGCCGGCATCGAGTCTCAATAAAATACAGATCTTGGGCCCTTTTCACTTTATCATCGTCTGCCTTCCTTCTCCTTCTTCGTTTTTCACCCTCAGATTCTACACGATCTCCTTCTTTTTCCTCATCACCCGGTGGAAGGTCGTTTTCTTTACGTTTGAATTCAAACCCCAAAGTTTGAAGTGTCCGATAGATTTCTAACATCACTGTCATAGGTGGTGATTTTGATCGAATCCCAAAATGCCATTTCGTCCTTGGCGTCTTCTTCGTCCGGGTCCTTGGCAGCTGATGTACACCACCCGCACCTAATCGTTTATCATCACCCTTACTGGGCTCAGCAGGTGTCAGAGGTTTGTTGGTCGTATTGAGAGGGGATGCCTGATAGTTAAGTAAACTCTGACGAAGTCTACTCAATCCTCCCGCCTGATCGGAAGTGGATTCGAAATTGGGCAAAGTGTGGGGTAAGACTCTGATGAATGATGGTACTATTTCAGGTTCCTCCAAGGGCTGGTTGAGGAGGATTTCAGGTGAAGTGTTGGTTACATTTCCATGGCCGGTGGATGAGGAAAGGTTTCGGGTTTTCAATGAGCTTGATCGAGTAACGGATGACTCAGATGGAAATTCATCAAGATGAGTAGTTCCTTCTTTCATTCGTCGATAATCACGAGCAAGCTGATAAGATATCTTGATATTTTTATCCAAGTCATTGACCAAAATGTTGTATAGATCATCGGCCGTGATGCCATCACCGATCAGATTACAGAGGTCGTTTATCACTCTGGGATCTAAAATTCCGAGACCAGGAATATGTATCTCATTCGAATCACTAGAGGCCGAGTCCTCGAAGTCATGGCAAGGTGAAGGTGCCGGTTCTACAGATTCAGATACACTGCTTTTGCGAGATTCATCGGGGCTTGTATTTGCGGGACGATTGTCGCGCTTGAGATATTCGGGCAGGTCCTCGTTGAACCAGTCAAGCTTTCGTATCTCGGGAATTGTAATACGTTTGTTGACATCTACTACTAACATCCGGCTGAGCAAATGTCTAGCCCCAGGTGAAAGATGAGGAGGGAGAGAATATAAACCACCTATTTGAAATAGAAAAGGACTATGATTAGTATGTGCAGCTTGGAAAAAAGATCGGTAACAGTGCGCAACTATTGATTTTCTTGAATAACATGGGGATATGATCATCATCGAATGGTAACCGTCCACAAAGCATCACAAACAAGATCACGCCGCATGACCAAATGTCGATTTCTGGTCCGGCATAAAGCTTTCCACTGATCACTTCGGGTGCAGCATAGTTAGGGCTACCGCAACTAGTCTTGAGGAAGTCACCATCCCTCATGATATTTGAAAGTCCGAAATCGGCAATCTTGACATTGAGATTATGATCGAGTAGGAGGCTACAAAGCAGTCAGTAAATAACGGTGTGAAAAGAACAGAATGGTAGTTGAATGACATACTTTTCAGGCTTAAGATCACGATGGACGATGTTGTGGATATGGCAATACTCAACTGCGCAGATGATCTGCTGGAAAAACCGACGAGCGTCTTGCTCTGGCATCTTCCCGACCTAATCGACGTAGAAAGAAACCAGAAGTTAAGGTCATGCGATGAACAGAATGAGAGGGAAACAGTAGAATGTTGGCGTACTTGAACTATGTAATCAAACAATTCGCCTTTGAGATATTCGATCACCATCACAATATCCGTGTTATCTTGAATAACATCATACCTAGGACGCATAAACCGCCCGATCAAAAAAGCATCAGATCCTGGTCGTCCATGTGATGAATGAATGATGAGATACCGACAGCTTGATGATATGCGGGTGTCGAAGAAAACTTAAATATTCAATCTCGCGTTTAACACGATCTCTCATTTCTTGAGTAAGAATTTTCTTTTTGGATAAGAATTTCATTGCCACATGAAGTCGAGTGAGCTTATGTCTAGCAACTGTGGACAGAGATAAAGTAAAGTACTTGAGTATGTCTTCAAGGAAGGTAGTTTATGCGGCGAAACCAAAAGACTTACGTTTAACTTTACCAAAGCTACCATGACCAAGGGTTTTGACGATTTCAAAGTCACCAATAGATTTATTAGATTCCTTTACACCAGTACTTTCGTTTCGCCTTCTTGTGGAACCAGGAGGAACCATGATTGATAGGAAGTTGAACTACAATCTTCAAATGGTCAAGAGAAAGAAAGAAAGGAAAGAGAAACGGTCGAATGAACAGATGAGATGGTAAACAGTTAATTTCCTTGAATTTGAATTTGACTGGATCTGACTAAGAATCAAGATTGACTCTGACTTTTGAGTTTGGTGGTCTTGGTCCTTGGTGACCGTGATGCTCCGTGATGGTGAATGATGAAATTTGGTAAGCTGTAACGTGAAATCAATTGAAACTTTGAAAATCTTCTTAGGTATCTGTATCTACTTAAGTACTTAATCATCCATCGATCATTCTGATCGGTTACGTCATTTTATCGTCATTTCGACAACACAATGTCAAACCAGCAATCATCATCATCAAACAGCATCAAACTCAATGAACTTCGATTCAATTCAAAGTTCAAACAGCTGAATAACAGGAGCATCGCGCAAATCCGGAACAACTCCGAGGTATTTTTTCCTTTTTTTAGCCTGATACCTGCTGAAGCAACACGCTTTACTTTGATTCATTTCCTATATGATGGAGATGTCCTCCTTAAAGCACAGAAGCTGCATGTATGTCAGGAGCTATATATCTGAAAAATGATTCCTATCCGTTGCTAAGAGCATCTCCAACGCGCCCTTTTCTCTAAACCGGATGCAGAGCTAAAAAAACATGCTTGAAACGTAAAAACGGCTATATTTCGTATTCAGCTTCCGGTCCATCCAACGCGCACATGAGGCATGGGATCAAGACCTAGTGTTTAACTCAAGCAGAGTTGATCACGGCATTACGCTTTTGAGAGGACTTCATGAATTGTATACATGTTTTTTTTGATTGCCTTTGCTCAGAAGTTTAGGGCCCGTTCGGCTGGTTTTCCAAAAATTCGTTACATAAAAACGATTTTTCGTTCAAGGGGCGGATTGAAAAACTCAAAATTCGGCTTTTTCATTTACCGAACAGTCGACCAAATAGGTCAAAGAAAGATCAAAATGGAGGGGCAAATAAGGGCAAAAACACTTTTTGGTCTCAAAAACAGCCTCAGGGCTGTTTTTCAAACTTGAAGATTTTTTGATCAAAAACGGTTTTTGTTTTTGATCAAACAAAGTTACCGAACGCCTGTGTTTTTGATGAAAATCAAAAACTGTTTTGACCCAAAAACGGTTTTTGGCTTTGGTGGTGCTTTTGACCAAAAACCGTTTTTGGGTTCCAGCCGAACGGGCCCTTAGACACTTAAAAATTGTATAACAGCAACAGGGACTGCGGGACCTGGTTGAGACAAAGAACAAAACTTATGTACATTTGGAGGCTGCCCATTGTGGGCCTTAATCTATACTGAAAGGCCCAGGGTGGGTTCTCTGCAAGCTAGTGTGTGGTAAAACTTATAAGATCAATAGTGACCAAATTGCAGCAAAGAGTCAATCAAGAGACTTGCTTAGATAATAATTGTAGACAGAGGTGTTGATGAAGTCACCACATTTGCCAAGATTATGTCCAATAGCTGTCCAATAGTGCCAGCTCCAAAAGTGCAGTTGGTCCTTCATAGAGAATCTCCAATGTGGCTGAATCTGAATGACTAAACATTACATTTTGGTCAAAAATGTAACATGTATTGCTCTTTTTCAGAAAAGAACCATCCAGCTTCAAGACCAAGCTCACACAGCTGGCTTGGAATTGGCACACTCACATGCAGCAAAATTTCTGAACTAGCTGAACATTCTCAAAACCACTCTCCCAAAGGCATTTCACAAAAAATGACAAATTATGAGTATCTGTCCAACCTTTATGGGTTCAACCTCAAAGCAACCCCTATTGGGAATTGAGATTGGAGCTCATATGTGTGCTGCATGGCACTTTTGCCAAATACACAATACACATTTTTTTTGTGGAGAGATGTGGAGGGAAATTTTGAAAAATACATTGAAGTCTTGGAGCTTCCCTACTCACACCAAAAACTTGAGTATGTCCTAAGTCCCTGTTTGGGGGCATGGCCAACACACTTGTGAGGGGCTTTGTTGAGCTTGATTTTTGTGTGATAAAAGTGATTAAATTTAGGGCAGCGAGCAATTGGAAATACATTAAATCTGCATTTTCAGTCATTTTATGCATTAGTGGCTATTAGTGGTGCTCAAATTGGCAGTAACTTTGTGTATCAAGTTGACATTTGTTGACATCTCACAGCCAAAAAGTCAACTGGGTCAACTTTGAGCACCACTATCAAATGCAATGATCAATCATGTGTATGTCTGTTTTTGTGAAATATAAGCTTTTCACATGTCAACAATGCTTATACAAGAAAGGAAGTCACTTAACACCAGATCTTAAAAACAATGATTTTTCCTGATAAAAAATCAAGTTGAATAAATGAGTGTTTGTGACTCAAAAATTGGAATATTTCAATCATACAAAAAGAAACAATTACAAACGGTTTCAACCAAATGATTCACCAACCTCAAAGCAACAAAAATCAGATTGCTATTGTTATCATGGGAAGAGACTATAGCTAATTGATTAAATGTGAACATCATGCCTCTTTCATCTTCCCAAACTCAAGTGTAATCCCACTTCACCCAAAAAGAGGACATTGGTAATCTATCTTACTGATGTCAAAGTGTTTCAATCCAGGAAACCCAAATATATACCACTGACAAGATATACAAAAGGATTTACTAATCAGCAAGAAATGATGACTGGAACGATCAAAGGAGGTAACAGAACTAGGTATTGAGGAAGAATCAAGTTGAATGAAATGAGTCTTGTTGTATCAGAGAAGGTTTATGGGGATCAAGAATCAAATTGACTGTATAATCAGGTCCCATTCACTATTGCAGGTGTATTATTATTCAGTTCTACAGTGGTGCGGTTGCCGATTTACATAGGTATGCTTAACCAAATGATATTGTTCTTGATCCACATAATACATTCCTCAATAAGCTCACATCAGATACAAACACAGATGATATCAAAAACAAAAGATTCAAAAGAAAAAAAAACTATCCCTAACGATAATTCAATCCAGCAATCTGCTTAAGTTGTTTTTTAATAAGCTTAGGAAACCATGCCAAAATCGGATAAATCAGGTTTCTAATCCAAATGAAAAACCAATTACGTGAAGTAATAGTACGAAATAATTTATCTGAAAGTTTAAGAACTTGAGTGGCGAATTCATGACGTTTTGATGCCCATTGATTGAGTTTGTCAGTAAGCATTAAAGTTGATTCATCTGTTATAGTTGATGATGAATGGAAAAATTCGCTGAGAGTTATCTATAGATGAATGAATATATTCATTATTCCAAGCCTTTGCAGTTTCAGAGGTCAAGATAATCAATTTCACTCACACCAAGGCTCACGGCGTCTTGCACTCCTATATTCATTCCTAGAAGATAAGCAAAAAGGACAAAGAGCTTCAGTGTGTAGATGCATAAATCAAGACTTCTGATTCAGTGTATGATCACCTTGCCCTCCTGCTGGAGCGTGAATATGAGCAGAATCTCCAATCAAACATACAGGACCTTTAATGAAAGAAGGAGCAATCCGATGTGAGATTTGGAAAGTACTAGACCACTTAACCTCGATGCTAAAATTCGGAGGAGTTGGTAAGTCTATCTAATCACAGAACAAGTATACCGCAATTTCTTTCAAAGCTCTCTCGAAATGCTCACATTTTGTTGGGTTCATCATCTGACATCACCTTAGGTCCACGCTTGTTCACAAATTCCTGAAGTTCAGCTTGAGTAGGACCCTTTCGATACTCCCCATGTTTATTCTCCGTTTTCAAATCACTCATAGGTTGGAAATCAGCAACCATACGAACAGATTTATCGGGAAGTGGGATGAATCTAGAACGGTTTATCAAAAAAAAAGTTTACAAAATAACTTGTAGTCAATCAATTTTGTACGAATTATTTTGAACATGTCTTGCGCATGATACTCACAGTAGCCAGCCATTACTACCCCAGAATTGAGACCCTTCATAACCATTCCAACCTTCTTCCATGAACTTGTGATCATAGATGTGTCAAACCCACGTTAGATCAGAAAAGAATTACCACAGGTAATAAAAGCACTCACATATGGCCAATTTGGTGATTTAAATTTGACATCCCCAAGAGCCAGTGTATGAGGCTTTCAATTCGAAAAATTCTCAATGAGATGTTCAGAATCATTAAAACAAAAGCTCTATACGCACATAAGAGTATCCAAGAAATTCGATTTGACTAGCTGTGCGGACTTTGGAGCGAGCCCCATCGGCGCCCACCAGGATGGTAGTCTCTACCTCGGCATACTCTCCACTAATATGTAATAGCTTCACCTTGACGGGTGCTCCGATTTTAGTCTGGACATCACAGAACACAGTTCGGTTGCAATTTAAGCTTCTCTCGTTATCTATCAAACCAGTTCAGCTTACCTCGTCATCAGTAGTGAAGCTCTCAAATGACCATTCGCGTTGTAATTGTCCTCCTAGAGTATTTAGACGAGCTTCAAGGACTGTTTCGGTATTTCCCTGCGGATGAACAGTTATGAATGGATATCTGGTTTCCGATTCGAGAAGACTGAGTGAGGTTTCCAATATGATTTTCGATTGATTCGGTTCACGGATGCGCAACGTATCAACAATCCTAGCTCGATTAAGGATCGTCTGAACGGTAGATTTGATAGTTTCATCCAAAGGTAACAAATCAAGAGGCTCGCCATCAGTAGGTCTCGTGGGTGATGGAGAAGTACTATCATCAACGCCCTCTTCTAGACACTCTAGCGTTCGTGAATGGATTGCTGTCGCACGACTCTGGTAGCGGCGAGTTTCTTGATGAGTGGCAGACTCTTTATCGACAATGAGAACCGAAGAGTAAGGTACTCCTTTGTTGATTAAAGTACATGCAAGAGCAAGACCGGTGCTGTTTGTAAGATTGATCAGTTTGGCAATAAGCATTCGATAGAAAGCGGACCACCACTCACGGGCCACCCCCAACAATAAGAACTGAGACTTGGGAGGGAAGGGATCGAGATGGCATGATTTTGATATTTTGATAAATACGCAGTGGAGACGCTCACCGATGAAGACGCTTCTACTCCTTGAAGATGACAATGTGTCTCTGATCATCTGTCTCCACTAGAACAAACCAATGGGAAGGCTTTCACAGCAGGGGGGATCTTCGGAAGTTCGAACTCACAGGGCACTATAATAACGGTCTCTAATTGAACAAAGTCTCAGCGCTTCGCCTGATTTATCGGTCAAGCCCAATGTCGACGTGATGATGTGATAGCCAACTGCAGGGAAAACTGAAGTTAAGCCGTGAAACAAACAAGGGCCCGTGGGCGTGCGTGGTCATGGGTCATGAATCGTTGTCGACCAGCATTCATTCAGAACTGAAGGACAAACATTGATGAAGAACGTTTTCAAGGATGTCATTTGCGTAATACCTTACTCCGAATTCATTGTTCTTCTTTGTTCACCTCTGTAGCATTCACTGATAGCAACTCATGATCAACGGGCAAACACAATTCCTATTGATGCTGAAAGTTTGGTAGGTATGGTTGACCCTTCTTCCGTGTCCCTTTTACGTCCTACAAAGTCATTCTTCGGTGAGATAGTTTACCGTGATTTTCCTTGTCGTGCAAATCACGTTCTACATGTCAACAAAGAGTACATTTGCACGTTTGACCTGCTTCTCTCTTTGGTTGTACATCTTGTTTGTGTTCATTCGATGAATAAAGCCTCCACCTCAATGAAATGAAGATGAGTATGAAGCTAAGCTTAACCAGCGCTGAGGCAACTACGCTACAACACGCTACCGTGTGTTTTGTGTAGTGTAGCTGTATGAAGTTAACAAAATCTGACCCTTATGATAGTGTAGCTTGTCAAGTTACAATACACTACGAGCTACTGCAGCTGATTTTGGCACCTCTACACTACGCTACAAGGCCAAAATTTGGTTAGCTGGAGATTTCCCGAGACTCTGCGTAGGGTAGCTGGAATTCATCTCACTTACCACCCTCTTTCTATCTTTGTTGCGTGTTCTGATGGACAAAGGACCCCCGGACCCCAATACATATCCAGGGTGGATTGACCGCTTGGGATGACAAGTCATTGTATGGCGACAAGCAGACCAAGCGGCAAAAGACACAGCGGAAGGCAAATCCAAACACATGACTTTACCTTTCAGCCTAGGGGGTCTGCTTTGCCACACGAGGGGTCTATTTTGTACCAGGGGAGCAGGTTCTACTAAAGCTCCATACAAAACCAAAGGACCATGGATAGCTGATGCATTGAACAATTTAGAAAAAGGACACACAGCGGCAATATTTCAACTTTGATGTGGCCATTGCCCATTGAAGAAACACCTACACATAATAGGTGTCTCCAAAAGAAACAGGTGTGAAGGATGCTCAGCAATTGAAACACCCACCCACTTCCTGATCTATTGCAAGAAATACTCAAAACAACACCAAGCATTCAGAAGAAAACTGAAAACGGAGAAGATCAAAATCAATACAAATTTAGCTGCTGCACTATTAGACACGCCCCAAGTCTTCCCATACTTGGCTCAGTTTATACAAGACACTAGAAGATTCACCCATATAAAAACATACTTGGATAATTCATTTCATAATGATACATTGTTACCTATGCTATTTCCTTTCTATATCTCCTTTCCAAATTGCTTTGTACATTGTTATGGGGCATGTTTTTCCACTTAGAGTCTATTGCCCAGGCTTGATAGTCTGGTACAAAAGAAAATTCACCAGAATTTGTAATTCCTCCAGTTATACAGTAGTATATATATAGAGAATTAGTGCAATATGCGAAATCAAGAGCATTTTTCAAGAAAAAAAATTGTATGGCAATGCAATGGATGGTTTGGTCTGGTCTGACCTGATGGGCCAGACACCAACAAGCACACCTAAGACATGTCCACCACCCTTGAAGACCCTTGATAGGGTCACAATCCCCTATCAAGCTCTCACTGGTCCTGTTTCAAACACAAGAGCTCAATAAAACAACATAGACAACAAGCCCCCTTGCCCAGCCCTCACAATGAGGCCAAGGACATAAGCAGAACCCCTCATTCAATCAGTATTGCTAGATTGTTCCCAGGTGGATCCGGAGACGCATCAAAACCACTTGACATTTTGGTCCAGAAGCTTTTGGACATATCCAAGTCTGCTCTGGTATCAAAATCAAAACACATGAAGTTGGTCAATGTTGACATATAGTTGGCAGCTGACATCCTCATGGTCGCCAGACTGATCCAAGATCAGGCAAACATCATGGAAGCACAACATGTAGTGTTTGATCCAAGTTGCCAAACAGCTCCTACCCCATCTTCCTTTGCATCAGACGCACAGTTTGAATTCCAACATGAAGGGCTGTCAGAAGAAGTTGACACACTTACCAACCAAATGGCAAAATTGGTGTCTGCTATTATCCCAAACCAGCAGCAACAACCAACAACACACCATCCAAAAGGAACTTATGCCTTAGCTGCATCAAAACATGCTCCAGGATCAACCCAAGCACCAAAACATAATCAGCAGAGCAATTGTGCTCCACCTAAACAGAGCCTACACCCAAAGTCTGACGCTTCTCTCACACTGAACCAGCAGGAGCCCAAAAATATTTCTGGAGAGGTAACATCCATCCCCCAGCTGATAAAAAGCCTCAACAAAATCCTTAAGACCAATAATAGCAATGCAAAATGGGGAATAGGTAGAAGGTCAGACCAACAACTGATTGATGAGGATGAAGCAATTTAGGTGATAAGCAATAAGAAATGGACTGGTGAGGTGGATCATGTAGGATTGATAGAAATCTTATAATGAATATAAAGAGCTGATTGTTAAAAAGTCTTGCTAAGTACAATGTAACTGGAGTCTGAATAGCTTTTCATAGGTTGAATTAAGTTGAACAATCAAGTTGAAGTCTTGGGCACGTTTCTGAAAATGAAATCTGAACTCAAACAGGGAGAGAGACAGAAGTGCAATTTGGGAATATCAATCAAAGAACTCACACTGACTCACAGAATGTGCTCCTCATCTCAACATCAATCTATGTCAGGTATTTTCACCTTCAGGGGGTGAAGTCCTTAAATCAGTGTAGGGGTACGCTAACCAAAGCTAACCGCTAAAATCAGATCTTGATGACTGTTAGTGTAGATGTAAAAATCCAGCTACCACTACAAACGTAGCTATACAAAGTTATCACAAACTCCAGGATCTGGCAGCATAGATCACCACATCTAACAGAAAGTGTCCCATTAGATGTGTGAAAAAGTTACGCTACCAGCTTCTCTGACACTTTTTTATTGTAATTGGTCCAGTGTTGTTTCTGCCTTGATTCAAAAGATTCACATTCAAATCCAATGAATCTAAATCCCTATACCAATCTTGATGTCTATCAAGCTTGTCTTGTTGATTGTTCTCTTGTTCTCTTTTCCAATAATTAGATGGACTGGCTCCAGGAGTTTGATGTTTGCACCCATCTAACCCTTCATTAGATTGAGGTGATAAACTTGATTATTATTCAAGATGACTTTCTTGATGTTCAATGCCATTGCCTCTTGATACCTAAGTTAGATACCTAACTTATCATGCAAACTCAAACTCTCATGTCTTTCTAAAACAGTTTGATCCAAATTTGAAGTACCTAAAAAATCTCTTGTTTCATGTCTAAGGTTTGGTAATCTATTATTTATGATTTGTTTGGATGGAATAGGCTTGATGGAAGAGATAATTGGGTTGAATCCAGAAGAAGGTGTTTGTGTTAATCAATTTGTACTAGGGTTTGAATTTTCTTTGAAGTAGGCTTGTTTTAAGATTGCTTTTGTAAAAATTGATTAATATGAAACTGTTTCCTGTTGTTTGAAATGTTGCATTGGTGCTGCTGCACATATTTTAAATGATGGAGTTTGTGAGGTGATTCATGTGGTAGGAATTGGAGCTGAGATTGAGTGTTGCAAATGGGTACAGGGTTTTTGTGGGTTTCCTCTGCATATAGCACAGGAAATGCAGTCCAGGAAAGTTGCAGAGCAAAAGCTCTGCTATGAGATTTTTCCCTACTTGTGTGCTGAGAGAAGGCCCCGCTATATATATTGGTATATATAGTGGAGGCCTTGAGTGCTCCACTATTGCTCCGCAACCACTATAAGGAGCGGAGCAATTCCGGTATGGGCCACACAGACCATATGATTTCAAGGTCAACCTCATTCCTGGTGCAACTCCACAGGCTGGAAAAGTTATCCACTTGTCACCAGAAGAAATTGAAGTATCAGAAATGCTGAAGAAAGGACTTTTGAATGGCACCATTTGAAGAACTACTGCACCATGGGTGGCTCTGGTACTATTCACAGGCAAAAAGGGTGGTAATTTACAACCATGCTTTGACTATAGGAAACTCAATGCCGTCACGGTGAAGAAAAAATACCCTCTCCTGTTGAAAATGGAGCTTGTAAATTTATTATTAGATGCTGAAAAATTCCTAGTGCTCATGTGCAAGTACGGCCAATTCAAACCACTGACAATGCCATTTGGTCCACTGGAGCTCCAGGATGTTTGCATTTTTTACAAGACATTCTAAAAGCTTGTATAGGACAATATTATCATCTATAATAAAGGTGGAGTTGATCATGCAGCAGTAGTGAAATGGTAGACGGTACCCAAAGGCACGACGGTACCGTCTCTTTCCACGAGACAGGGCGTATGTCGGATTATGGGTAATACAGGAATATCCCGATACCGGTGAGCGGGAATTTCCTAGACGCATACCTGGAGGTACTCAAGGTGGAAATTTCTAACCTCATAGGAGAAATTTCTCTCCGCGTCAATTCCCCATTTCCGCTATCCCACGCCCCTGTCTGGAAAATAGTCCTATCAACTCTTCTCTCTCTCTCACGACACAAGCTCCTTTAGCTTGTCTTCTCATTTTCGAAATCATATTCACTTAAACATCATTAATTGATCATGGCGAACCCAACAAACCAAAATTCTAACACAGAAAAATTCAATGAGATGATGAGGAGATCAAGTGATAGACTAAGAGGTGGATCAGTACCACCCCCAGACTCGGAACCCGTAGTAATCAGTCCGGCCACAACTAACCAATGTGGGAGAGGTCGCGGACGTGGACGTCGTAACGGAGTGTCCTCTGGTCGGAATGCTACCCAGGTATCGAATGACGGAGTCGTGACACCGGTGGTTACACTTACGGTTCCTGGAGGAAACGAACCACCCCCCCCACCTTTACCGGCACCATCGGCACAAGACGCTAGTTCTAACAGTCAGAATTCTGCTCAACCGGCAAGTGAGGTAGTTGTTGACCCTCAAGTTAATACTGGAACATCGGTTCTGTACTCTGCTGGGATCATCGCACGAGACAACGTAGTCATTACACAACCCTGTAAGCCGTCAGAGACACATTACCCACCTATGGTGATGCCGCAATGAGCGATGTTTTCCCGATTGATCCACTATGAAGTGTTGCCACTAGATGTGATGCCTCAAAATGCTTGGCAGAGAGTTCAATATAACTAAGATTATGAATTTGTTCTACCCTTTGTTGTTGGTTAAGTGCGATCACCAACTCGTAGGAACACCATCACAGCCGTACGAGAGAGCCCTCCGAGGGGTTTGAATTCTTGGCTCCTGGCGAACGGTTTAATTGTCGTCAATAACCCGATTGGGTCTTCGCCTGCGAGGCAGGGTGTTACGTCGGCCGTTCCGAAAGAACCAGCTTCGGGCAATCCAAACCAAAGATCATCAACCGCTATTACGGCAGCGTCTGTATTGCCAGCGTCAAACCCAGCAGCCAGTGTCACTGTGCCGGCTAAGAAGAAAGTCGTAGATCTGACAAAGGAAGCAGATGAAGTTAACAAAGACTCAGCAGAATTGACCACTAAGAAGAAAGCTGAAGTCGGCAAGGCTGGTATCCAAACTCATGGTCTAGTTGCCTTATCGAAGTACTGGGACGATAAGATGAGACCCATGGATGGCTATGTCCCCCTTTCTATTTTCAATCCCGTCTGGTTGCGACAAGACTTGCTTAGAATCAAACCCAAAAATGCGAAAGATAAGGACGAGACTCGTTATACTGGGTTGAATGTTCCAGAGGAATGGAAAATGACATTTGGAGAATGGGTAACAGCCTTTGACCTGTTTGTGGCCTACTTATGGTATTACGACCACGGGAAACTGGCCGACAAGTTCCTAATCCACAAAGCGAACGTTTTGGCAATCAAGGCAGAGTGATTATGTTGGCCGATGGCCTTTCGTTACGACCAAGCTGTCAGAACAACTGTGATGACAATCAGAAACAAAGATGGAAGGCTTGCAAACCCGGCCATATGTGACAAGACCTTTGAGCAAAATGCCCGTATGGATAGTGAACGCCTTAACGGCTTCCAACCCAGGTTTGGCGACATCAATCCATATGCCGACTTCGAGTGCAAGTCAAATATCAATCCGATATCCGGTGAATTGATCACTCATAGTGTTGTCCAAAACGGTACCATCGCCAACTCCCATCTGAGCCATCCTAACCACCTAGGTAAACCGAACGCTAGATCTTGGGCTTGCGCGAACCAACACTCCAACCATTCTCCTTACCAAAATCAACATGTCCCTTATGCGAGTCAGCCAGTGTACGACGGACCTGGGAGTTCGGGCTATCACCATTACGAGGACCGCCGTGGTGGAGGTCGTAACGTCCGTGGTAGAGGTCGAGGTGGATTGTATAATGGCGGGAGTAATAGGGAGGAGCGTTATGATGCCCGAGGAGCTGAAAGTGGTGGATCTTGGCGTAAAGATGGAGGACGCGAAGATCACAGAGGGGGTGACCGTGACGTAGTTGGTCCTAAATATGGTGGCGGAGGAAAGGCAAAGTAAGCCATTTGGATGCACGGAGACTGTATAAATTTCTTACTTCAATTACTGTCACATGAGACGTACCTGTTACGTTGGATTTGAACAAAAAGTTCTTCCCGGTTAGGGCATGTTGACACCTCTTTCTTGATATGTGACTCTTGGCCTGTGGTGGTCAGTTTGACACCGTGACAGTGTTCAGTTGGGTGATTATCATCCAATAGAGAAGAATATGTTACCTCCTGTGATGCTTAGATTTTGTTCTTCTGTTCGAATTAATGAAATAAATCAGAACGCAGTGATGGCCTTGAGAAAAGTTTTGATTCTGACTCACCATGATTCCCTTCCCTATTCTTGACGTTTGGTTTAGTTTTGACTGGCAAAGTGAAGTAAGGAGTCCAAGTGCTTTGCCACAGATGAAACAGACAGAAGACCAAGTTGTGAGACTTCTACCGTATGTGAATTCAGGGAGGTTCTACGAGGCAAAATGGCCGCCGGAGCTAGCAGTATGCGACTTGAATCTACAGAAATGGAGGTCCTTGATACGAGAGTTTAAGGTTGGAGGTGACGCTAGTGAGGTAATAAGGGGTTGTCGTGATGGTTTCCATCAAGGGATCCCAAACCATACCTTGGGGAGATTGAAGTGGTTCACGCCTCCGAATCATGATTCAGCTACCCAGGCAGCAGAGAAAATTGAGAACACGTTAGCGAAAGAACACCGCGCAAGACGAATTTTCGGGCCTTTTACTCACCAAGAAGTGTTTCGCAAGATAGGTTTCTTTTGATCGAGTCCAATGGGCAGTGTCATAAACGGTGATGGTTCATTTCGTATAATAAATGATCTGTCTTTTCCACAAAATAATTCAGAAACACCGTCAGTTAATGGCTTTGTTGATAAGAAAGAGTTTGAAACAACGTGGGATGATTTCAAGGTCATTGCTGGATTCTTTAGGGATCACAAAGGAAGGTACTTACTGGCAGTCTTCGATTGGGAAAAAGCCTATAGGCAGATTCCAATACACCCGTCACAATGGCGATTCCTATTTATTATGGATTTACGTGGAAGGTTGTGGTTAGACTCACGTATCCAGTTCGGAGGGGTCGCAGGTTGTGGTGTTTTTGGAAGACCGGCAGACTTATGGAAGACTATTATGGTAGCTTTATTCGGTTTGACGGCGGCATTTTGATGGGTTGATGATAACTTGCTGATTAAAGAAGTAGGAAATCCTGTGACGATACAAGATGTGGTAAAAGTTAGCTCAGATATGGGGGTAGCATTGAATCCGGAAAAGGTTCATGAGTTTGCAGAGGAACAGAGATATATTGGTTTCATCTGGAATTCGAAAGAAAGGACGGTGCGCTTACCTGATGAAAAACTTAAAGAGAGGACCCGCGAAATAGATGAATTCCTGGACCCTGAAGAATCGTTCAACTTGAAGAGAGCTCAAAAGTTTATCGGGAGATTAGTACATACGACACATATAGTACCACATTTAAAATGTTATATGTCTAGTTTACATCGCTGGGAAGCGGAATGGCAAGTAGCGTCTGCGAAGAGAAAAATCCCAAACGATGTACGAGAAGATTTGAATGAATGGCAAGCTGTGATGAAAGACTTGGAACCGAGAAGAATCATACCTGATCAAGTACCAATCGACCTCGATTGGGTAGGAGATGCTTCACTTTCAGGAATAGGTGTACTAATAGGTAAGAAATGGGCTCAATTTGATCTGGTAGAAGGTTGGAATCTTGATCGGGGGAAAGAGGTTAAGCGTAATATTGCGTGGGCAGAGACTGTCACAATACGTCTAGGTATGATAATGGTAAATTAAATTATGGAAGTGGGTGGGAAGACATTCCTGGTACTCACGGACAATACGGCATCTCAAGGTGCAGTAGACAACAAGAAATCAAAAGATTGTGCGGTGAACGGCGAGTGGAAAGTTATACAGAAATTGCTTGAGAAGTATCACTGTGATCTAGTTGCGAAGAGGGTGAAATCAGGGGATAATTTGGCAGATTTATTATCCAGAGGGAAAGATCAGAGGGAAGCTTACGATTGTGTGATGATCGACCTGTCTGAGGATTTGCAGGGAGTTGTGAAACAAGTAATTTGAAATAGATGATCTCTTTCATTTGTTCATACCCATACCAAGAGAGAAGTCCGTGAGTTGACCCGACCGGACCTATGAGTTTCTGAAAAAATTGTTGTTTGAAAACTTTGTTGTGAGATCTTACCTAAACGACTGACACTACACAAAATATAATATTTTCTGGGCAGAAAATTAAATTATTGATACACAAAAATATTGAGAGGCCAGGAGAAGGGCAAAAAATAAATAAAAATATGCATCTTGTTCCCTGCGGTGAGAGCTTCACTCTCCATATTTTTCCATATTTTTACAGTCCGTATTGATAAGTGTACTAACAATAAACCTTCATAATCATCCAATTACAACCTGTAACAAGCACTGAAATTTGGCTCATTAGTGCTTAGAGAAACTTTTGATTTCTGAAAACACCTATAACTTTGTCAAATCTGCCTCAAAACACTCGATTTTAAGTGCATTAGAAAGCTGAACTCTTCCTCTCGAACTTTCATAAGATCAAGAACTATGTAGGTAGTATGAAAAGCATTCTATGGATCTGTATGTACAAATGTATAAAAAAGATGATATCTTTTTTAGCAGACCAGCATGCTGTGTGGTCCTATTATGAACTATTTGGAGGACAATTCCAGCTTACCAATGCACCCAAAATCGAGCATTTTAGACCGGAATTGAAAAAGTTATGAGTATTTTCAGAAATCAAAAGTTTCTCTAAACACTGATGAGCCAGATTTCAGTGCTTGTTACAGGTTGTAATTGGATGATTGTGAAGGGTTATTGTTAGTACACTTATCAATATGGACTGTAAAAATACGGAAAAATATGCAGAGTGAAGTTCTCAACGCAGGGAACAAGATGCATATTTTTATTCATTTTTTGCTCTCCTCCTGGCCTCTCAATATTTTTGTGTATCAATAATTTAATTTTCTGCCCAGAAAATATTATCTTTCTGGTAGTGTGAGATACCCAACGAGGTATACCACCAATCAACTTTCCTATATCTGTTATCACCACGACAAGTCCTTATACCTATGGAATTCTTGAAAGGACCGGACGGAGTTGACTCGTCAAAATCTGATATAGTAAAGTCGTACATGATTGGAGGTTCTTGGTCACCGGTGACTCTAAAACATTATAATGCTGGAGTTATGAAGTTACTCGCCTTTGCTGGGGAGAAAGGAATCCAAAGATCGATGCTCTTGCCAATAGAACCAAATATCCTATATCATTTCGTAATATGGGCTGGCCCGAACCCAGTAGGTCAACCTCAACCAAGTAATTCTCCACCAATCAAGTCAAATACAATACGAACATACCTGTCAGGTATTAAAGCCTGGCACCTTTTTCATGATTGCGACTATCCTCATAAGGCAACGTGTAAAGGACTGATATGTCCTCACTCGAAGGTGATTTTAAAGGAACTCTTTCTCGGAGGGAGCTGAGGATCAAGTGCCACGGAGTGGACTTCGAAGTTCTAGAACCAAGGTATGTTATCTTTATTTCTAGCTCCGAAGATATTGAAATATGAGATCAGCTCAGTATTCCCTAAGGACAGTCTACAATTGATAATAATGAAAAGATAGAAAGGATAAGAGAAATGTGTTTAATCAAAATGCTCACCTAGCTCCGAAGATATTGAAATATGAGATCAGCTCAGTATTCCCTAAGGAGCCAGGATTTGTGTGTGATGAATTTGAAAGAAATATGAAAACAGTCTTAGGTCCTAAGTCTAGGTATGTATGTAACTTTAAGGTGTAATGATGTAAGTCATTACACAACGCCTTGCCTACAAAGAGACTTGAGTAGATGTGAGGTGGGAAAAGCAATGAGACCTCGAAAGATGAACAGAATGTATAAAGAAGAGAAAAAAAAAACTAAGATTCGAAAAAGGAGGAAACTATCGTTGTGAAAGATCAATGATGAATGTGCGTGAGGTGACTTGATGGTGATTCGTAATGAGGCACAATGAAAAGAAAGAAAAGAACAAATAAAATCTTAAAAAGCTTGAAGGTTTGAAAAGAGAAAGAAAAAAGAAACAAAGGAAAAAAAGGAAATCCAAGAGGAGGAAGCCCATCGTGTCGTCTCGAGATGAATCTATGAGAAAAACAACGCAGCACAAGGGTCCGGTTCGATGCTCACAGCGTGGCCAAGGTAATGTTTTCTTTCACAATGATGGCGTAGAAAGCCCGGCGGTGCATACTTAGGTGAGAACTTACTTTTGGTCATTTGACCCGTGTGTCAAATCCTCTGGTTCCACGAACAACTTCAGCTTCGAAATGTTGAACACATCGTGGCGTTTGTCGCCGTCAGGTAAGTCGAGTCGGATGCTTTGACCGTTATTGAAAGTATCCAGGACCTTATAGGGACCCTCGTACCGTTCCTTCAATTTGTCGACTCCACCAGTATGTCTCCCGCGCCAATCACCTGAGTCGAGTAAAACCCAGTCGTCAATCTTGAATGTAACGTCCGAGTGTCGTTTGTTATGATGGAGCGCTTGAACTACCCGGCTAGCCCACAGGTTGTCTCGTATTTGGGCCCAGGTCCCTTCGCGCAGTCGTAGCCAAGCCTCAAGGGAAGCAGGAGAGTCGCCAGTCGACTCGGCGGAGGGGAACAGATTAGGGCGACGTCCAAAGATGGTCTCGAAGGGGGAAAGTCCGGTAGCCACGTTCACGGCACTGTTAATGGCAAATTCGACCGCCGGAAGGGACTCTAACCAACGAGTTTGACGTTTGGCTGTGAAGGTACGTAGGATTTGTCCAACCGTCTTGTTTGTCCTCTCGCTCCTCCCATCCGCCTGTGGATGGTAAGCCGAAGACCTGTGAAACGAAATGTTAAGGCGTTCCATCAGAGACTTCCAGAACTTTGATGACCATGCCTTGTCTCGGTCGCTAATGATCGTGGACGGTGATCCAAAAGTGCCGGACCAGGCTGCAAAGAAACGAGAGGCCGTTTTCTCGGCAGTATCGGATTGGTTTGTCGGGATGATCTTGGTAAATCCCGAGAGCCGGCAGGTGCATGT